ATATATCCCATCTCTGTGGGAGCCTTAAGCAAACATTTCACAGCTGGCAGGTGCTAAAAAAGAAAAAAGGGGGACATAAAACCAGTCCAACATATTAGCAGAAATCATAAAAATCTATAACAGTTCGGTTTATAATAAACATATGTGTATTAAATATCACAATTCTGTACAATTCTTTTGTGCTGATCCGTAAAGCTTTGTTTAAACCTCTTTATGTATGCTTGGATATTTCCTTTGTACCAATATACATTCTCTCATTTCATTGTTGTTTTTTTCCTTAATTTTTTTCCTCTTCTTTCCTTATTGACTTATTTACTCTGTTATCCTCTGTAGTTGTGTTTTTTGTGATATCTGTCTGATCCATTGTTTTCATTCTGTCTATCTGGAAGAACAAAATTAGCTATCACTTTAACTGCTTTTAACTGCAATACTTCTTAATCTTATTGCTTGTAAATTTTGACATAACACCTCTACCTTACAGCTACATATTAACTATAAAAAATTTAGCATTTTTCTAGCATTTCTCACTCTCTAGTCTGTTGTCTCACTCTAAGCAAGTTGTTTAGGAAACCCCTCTTAACCCATCTTTTGCATCTTTCAGCAAAGCAAAACATTATGAATGATAATCCAAGGCTTTTTATTTTTATTTTTATGGAACATCAGTTTTATATAAATAAAAATGATCCTTCAGTAAAAAAGCAGAACACAAATCATTTGAGCTCCAAGCTCCTATTAATGCTAAATGGAAAAGGATTCTTTAGCCAGCATGCATCTAGCTTATGGAATAAAACTAATATCTGAAACAAAAAACAAAAACAAAAACTGAATGATTAGATCACCTGTCTTCTCCTGTCAGTGTGGTCTCTTCTTTTTCACCTCCTGCCTGTGTGTCCAGTGTTTTAGCCACTCTCAGCTCAGACACAAAATATGCCATCTAACAAAGATGCACCATCTCATGATTCCTCTCACTTATTGGTTTAATGACTGTAACAAAGTGGGTGAGAACACCATTTGTCTCAGTTTATATTTTATTTTTCTTGTTTGCTTGATTTACTGTAACCATCTCTTTATTCTGTAGTTTGCATTTATATACTTACAACTATTTTAGAATATGTACAAACTAAAGTATTACAGGCTCCATCAGCCATGTCTCTTTCTCTTGTTCAATGCATGTGGAATTATTATCATTGTCTTCAAAAGTAATGAGGTGACTGAAAGACATTGTCATGACTAGCATTTTATAAAACAACATCACAAATAACATTTTATCAAGCATGTTTTCATTGGAATCAGAGAAATCATAATTTTTTTTTTTTTTCAAACAAAAGGTACTTTTGAGCAAGGAGCACAGGGGCAGTTGCTCCAGCAGCCCCAACCACCACCGACCCACCCCCACCCCCCACCCCTCCCTTCTGCATGTGCCTGAGCATGAACCATTCACAAACAAACTGTTTGCCTATCAATTTGTAACAAACAGTTATAACCTCGCAGTGTTAAAAAAAACTCAATTCCATATGCTAAGTATTCTCCTTCCAAACAATCTGTATATAAGTCTAAGTTAATCAAGAGCCACTATCTAGGGGAGGTGATGGCCTAGTGGGACCTGGTTGATCTCCACAGCCTCCACTCTGGGTCTTTGAGCAACACCCTTAACCCCACTTTGCTCCCCCTGTGCCACACAATGGGAGCCCAGTGCTCTGCAAGGGGATGGGTTAAATGCAGAGGTAAATTTCTACAGTGTGAGATCAATAAAGTTCTATTATTATTATTATCTCCCTTCCAGTGACTTTTCCCTCAATAATACGACAAAAACTAAGTAGCAGTACATTTTATAAGACAAATCTAGACAAATCTATGCTCCTTCTTGTTTTGAAATTGTATTTTTTTTAGCTAAGCCAACAGCAAAAGTCTCACAGTTAGTTTAATTTTAATTCATGTATATAAAGATGAGCCATTTACCAGAAGGTTTTGGCTGTTTAAGTGTCTCCTAAAATGGATTTTCCCGTGGGATCAGATCCCACTAGAGCAATCAGTTAAATATTAGGATGATTGCTTATACAGACTCTTCAATTGCCTGTTACCCCTGCGTGATTGGACTATACTGCAAAAACATAATCAGGCATCTTGTATGCTATTTTGCACTCAGACTTGTTGTCTGTCCACAGATATGTAAGCAGCCTGAGCTCAACCTGAGCTTCAGTAATCCACTGGCTTCACCCTGAAACAATAAGCCTGACTTCAGTGATACATTTAAGGCACTCTGCCTTCCTGTCCTACTGACTCAAACAGGCTGTTTTCACACAGCCTCTTCCTCCTGCTGGTGATACTCTACGTGACAGTTCCGCTGTGTTATTTTGTGCATCCCTAACGGGATGGGGGGGCTTGTTTTTGCAGCATTAACCTTTGCACTTTAACATCTCAAGAATGTGATAGAAACAAGCCAAATATCTCAGCTGCTCTCCCACACTGCACAACAGGCAAACTTAAAATAGACTCCTTCCTTTGTTGAATCTTGCAAAAGCGTAGTTTATCTTTATCATTAAATGGGTTCTGGGATGAGAAGTGTTTATGCAGATAATGTTTAGACTATATCCTACATTTTTCAATTTTGCATTTATTTAAACATCAACAATACATCCAGCCAATGTTGATATGATATGAGCAGTACGGCTTATCACCCGGTGTGGTGCCGTCTTGCGGCCGGTCTGTAGAAAGGTTAATAGAGAAAACCTTACATGGATCTTAGACTGTGTTTTGACGAATGTCATTGTAGTTTAAATTGTTAAGTTAGGTTTAATATTTTTATTTTACTTTATACTTTTATTTTTAAAAGACAAAACATTGCAATAAGCATTAGTTTGGCACCAACCTAATGCTTCAAATTCTAACTACAGCATCTTTAGCAACAGCTTGCTAAAAAGAGTTTTTAGCATTATGTCAGGAGTCATTTAAGGTGTTGCTAGAAACCTTCATCAGTCAACTCTTTAAAGATTAGGTGGAGATCTGAAATAAGGTTATTTTATTACTACTATTATTGGGCTCACACATGGCAAAATTGAATTTAAGTACTCCCCAAGTCTAAGTGTGTAGAGCGAATGACCCATATATGGAGACCTCATTTCTTGGCACCAGGGTTTAAGTCTTGACCCACAGACCTTTGCGGGATGTCTTTCCACTCTCTCTACCCCATTTCCTGTCAGTCCACTCTCAACAAATAAAGGCCATTGCTGGCCATATATATATATATATATAT